ATTCTCATGGTCTCTTCCACTACTCAGTCTAAATTCCCCTTGACATTAGCTATAATTTTTGTTGGTCTTGGTGGTTTACCTAGACCCACCCGTCATTTTTGAGGGATCACAGTCACAATTGGGCAGGGGAGTATCAAGTGGTACCCATGTGGGTCATCTGAGTTCCACACATACTCCTTGTTGTTCCCATTATGTAACAGCGTACCTGCTTCCTTCTGAGGATGAAGGTTAATGTATCCTGCCATGATAGTGATTCCTTTTCTTGCCTCTTGGTCCAGGGGCACAAAGAGTCGCAAATGCACTGGCTCCAGCTATAATTTATAGCTCAGTATGATCCTTGACATGTCTCCTGGCAAAAGTATGCCCAGGATCTCTAACAAGATGGAAAGCACAAAGTCCTCTAGTAGATCACTAGAAATTTTGCTAAGTGGAGGCCATTTCTCCTTCTACCTTTTGGTTCTCAGACCCATGTGTTCTTTCTACTAGGAGCGTAGCTCCGAATCATTGCATATACTGCATCCTTGTCTCTGAGCTGGTATATCATCTGTGTCTTCAGTAGGCCATTTTAGTACTCTATAAGGCTGGATGATTTTGTATGGTGCTGTTATGTGATAAGACCACTAGAGCCCCTGGTTATGGGCCCATTGCCACAATTCCTTCACTGTGAATTCATTCCCTTGGTTGGATGCTATGTTATATGGGACTCCATGTCTGTGGATCAGGTACTCTGTAAGCCCTTCTCTAGTGGTGTGGCTGGGGGTCTGTGGACAGGAAAGAAGAACCCATACCTGGAATAAGTATCTATTGAATGCCTGTGGGGATCAACTGCTGGCCTTTCCAAGATGGAAGGAATACGATGTGGTGTGTGGTTGATCAGCTTGAGGCACAGTGCTATATTGGGGCCTCAGTGTTTGTCTCTGTTACTCATAGGTTGGATGTTCAGAGGGGCTGGTAGACTGATTGGGCCTTGGTAAATGGGAGTTCAGCCTTCCTTTGCTTCTTTGTGCCACACTGGTTCCTTTATTCATTTCCCCATCATGCCATTTTCTGGGTGGCTAATGTCAACTCTCTGAGTCATTTTGTTTATTTGGTTATTCAGTGTCTCCTATATTGGATGCTTTCTGGGGGACATTAACACGTGAAAAGAATTTTCACACTCCCATATGTGCATTCATTTGCCTCCACCCATAACTTCTTGTAATAATTGTATAGACTTTTTCCTTGAAGGGCTCTGACCAGTTAGCCAATCCATTTGCAATTGCCTATGAGTCTGTATATATTCTCAACTCTGGCTACTTTTTTTTTCATACACAAAGTTCATGACTAAGTACATCACTTAAAGCTCTATCTTTAGGAAGATTTTCCCTTTCCACTCTCAAGGTCAGCCCTAAGTATGGCTGTAATGAAGCTGTTTTGTTTGTTTTTTTTTCCAGCTTGCATTCACATACTGAGTCATTTATAAGCTATTTATAAGCCAAACTTTGGCTTTTATCTCTTCCTTAAGTTGGTCATATAGGATCACCCAAACAGCTATAGATGTGAACTGAGGAAAGGATGCTAGTACAATTTTGGTAGGTGTCAGGGAAGTTTTGTGCCCTTTGGTTCTAGGGGGTTTGAATTTTTTTTTTTTTTTTTTTTTTTTTAGGGATATTGAGAGTGTGAGTAGGGGAGAGGGAGAGAGAGAGAGAGAGAGAGAGGAGAGAGAGAGAGAGAGAGAGAGAGAGAGAGAATCGTAAGCAGTCTCCATGCTCAGTGCAGAGCCTGACATGGGACTCAGTCCCACAATCCTGGGATCATGACCTGAGCTTAAATCAAGAATCAGGTGTTCAACAAACTGAGCCACTCAGGTGCCCCGGGTTTGATTTTTGATGTACCATTTCCATCTCATAATGGATTGTTTCTGAGCTCACTTGACTTTATAACTTGGAGAGTCTGTTGAATGCAGCTCCTTATGGGCAGTTCTGGATGTATAGTGTCCAGTGGTCAAGTGATCTCTTTCCAGAGCCCAGTAGCACACCAGGAGCTGTTTTTGTAATAGCATGACTCTCTTGCAGACCTCTAGGTTCCTGCATTGTGATTCTCCCACTAAGGCTTGCTATAAACTCTGCTGCAACTTTTCCCAACATTTATACCTCCAACAGGATGGGGACTGCTTGTACTACAACCTCGACCTGATGCAGAGTTGTTTTCCCCACTCAAAGCTGGCAGTGAGCTTTTCATATCGTTCAGTATGTGGATTACCATAATATTCCTATGTATAGAATGTGTTGCCTCTAGAATCTGAAGAAGCCTATTAAAAGTTATGGTTCCTTTTTTTGTAGTGGGAGATGCAAGATGCAGTAATTTGTTTCTTGCTTTGGAGGGGATGGGATGGCATGACCCTGACTGCTGAACTCCTAAAACTTCACTGAAGTGGTAGAACCTCAGATATTTGTAGTTTTTTTCCTGCCCTTTGGAGCACATGTATCTTACCATGTGTTTCAGCCTGCTAGTCATCTCTTGTTCATCTTGCATGATCAGCATGATTAAATGGATCAATGTGCCATTCTGAGGCCAGTTCTCTTCAGAGTTTATTATGATAGAGTAAGAGAATTAATATAGCCCTGAGATAAAACTGAACTTATACTGTTGTTTATTCCATGTGAATGGGACTGTTTCTGATTGGGATAGAAAAGAACTCATTTGCCAAATCAGTAGCTGTATGCCATGTACCTGAGGCTATATTTATCTGTTAGAGCAAACATACTATATCCAGTATGGGCGGCTGTGGTCATAGCTACTACTTGGTTGAGCTTGTTGTAGTGTCTAATCATTTTCTAGGATCCATCTGGTTCCTGCAGAGGCACTGAACAAACATATGAACAACATATGAAAGGGACCATGAATCTTGCATCTTTGAGATCCTAAGGGTGGCACTAGTCTCTGCCATCCGCTATACAATACTGTTTTTGATTTACTATTTTGGCCAAGGGGTGGGGAGACATTTAGATATTTTCAGGTTTCGTTTGGCCTTTTCCTCAATGGTAGTTCTTATTTCAGAGGTCAAGGACCCAGGGTGGACATTACCCCACCTTCCAAGGATGCCAGTCTCATTGTTATATTCAGGACCTGGGAAAATGACCTATGGACCAAAGTGGACTTTGGCCAGAACTCCATTTTTTGCTAGTTCCTATATTTTTCCTGTAACAGAACAATAATGATGTTCTAGGTGTCTAGATATCAACATCAACTCAGACTCTGTGACCAGTAGTTTTTTAAATGTGTGGATTTTTTCATTTCCCCACTATATAGTCACCTGAATACATAGGCATAGGTCTCATTGGAGAAGGACTTGGGGGGAATCATTTATTATCATATATATGTGTGTATATATATATATATATATATATATATACACACACACACACACATGCATATATATGTGTATATATATAATGTTCCTGTGTATTATATCTATATAATATTAGATATCTATATAATATAGTATATCTATCTATATAATATAATCTATCTATATATATTATCATCTTTATGTATATAATATAGATAATATATATCTAGATAATCAATTATATATATATTTATATATAACCTATATTTATATAGATATATATCTATATATCTATATTTATAAATTATATATTTATAAATTATATCTAGATATAAATGATTATATAGGATAATGACATATATAAATGATAAGTGATAAATATATATAATGTTCCTGTGTATTATATCTATATAATATTAGATATCTATATAATGTAGTATATCTATATAATATAGATTATCTATCTATCTATATAAATATATAATGTTCCTGTGTATTATACCTATATAATACATATGTTGCAGGGTCCTTACTCCTAGGGAACCAGCCATCTCTTTAAGCTGGTCGGTCTGGATCTGAAAACTGGATCAAGTACAGGAATTAGGCAAGGGATAGTAGTATTTTAATGAGGCAACCACTCTCAGCCTTGTGTTTATATGATCTTGCTTTATTTTGTTGTATATTAAGCAGCACTGTTGACTGCCTGTTTTGCTTTAATGACACTGTGTTCTGTTAACTATCTTCACAGCTCCCTGTGGGTCAAGGTTTATTGGCTGTTTTCCATCTTGCCAGTTATGATGATAACTGTGGTCCACTGCCTTCTGTTTTTGTTTGTTTGTTTTAGAGAGAGTACGCACACACTCTCTCCAAGAGAGAGGGACATAGGGGTAGAGAGAGAGAATCTTAAGCAGGTTCCATGCTCAGCACAGAACCTGATGTGGGGGCTTGATCCCATGCCCTTGAGATCATGACCTGAACTAAAATCAAGAGTCGGATGCTCAACCTACTGAGCCACCCAGGCGCCCTCACTAGCTTCTGGTTTTAAGTGCCACCACCAGGTTGCTGTTGCTTTGGAGCCTCATTATCCCAATTGCCATCAATGAGCAAAACTGTGACGGTGTATACTTTAGAGGAGAGCCACTACTTCTTTGTGATGCTTGTGTCTCTCTCACCAGTATATTCCTGATAGTCTTGGTGAATAGAGTGTCTCATGCACCCTCTTATGGAATGTAATCTTCTGGTAGGTCTTCTGGCCTCACATAATATATTCAGTCTAGCATACCCACTTTCCTGAGCCTTTTACTCCTGTGCTCCACCCTCTGCTATGTTAATTCAGGCATTTCAGTTTCACTCAATGTGGACCATTTTTTCCAGGCTTTTAGGAGTCACTGTAGCAGTGAATTTATGCCAAACCCTAGATTCTTCCCATATCCCGAGATGGTGTCCCCACCTCCAAACTTTACCTTATAAGTCTAATATTCTGGTCTCCTTAATTAAGTACCCTTAAAATCCAGCACTGTGTTCTCCTTGATCCTGCTGGTATATGTTGGCTAATTCTTTCAGTAACTTTGGGCTGTTGTCTCTTTTCTCCCTTATCAGGCTCAAGATATCATTGGCAGGGTTAACATTAGTTATTATCATGGAAACCAGGAGTGGAGGTGGGGGGTACCTCCTGAGAGGGAACCTTTGTTGCCTTGCAGGTGGGAGGCCTCAGAAGTGTGTTCCTGTGGAGTGGAAAGTACTAATGTCATCTTTACAGATTCTGAGAGTTCAGAGGAGTCTGGAGAATCAAAATCTCTGGGGGCAACCATTTTTTAAATTAATTAATTAATTTTTACTTTTTAAAGTTTATTTATTTATTTTGAGAGAGAAAGAAACAGAGCACACCAGCAGGGGAGGGGTAGAGAGAGAAGGAGAGAGAAAATCCAAGCAGGCTTTGCACTGACAGTGCACGTGAGGCTTGAACCCATGAATCATGAGAAACCTGACCTGAAATCAAGAGTCAGCCGCTTAACTGACTGAGCCACCCAGGTACCCCTGGGGCAACCATTTTAGATGTCCCTCTCCCATCTATCATGCTTCCATGTTTTCCAAACCAGGACCCAGACCTTCGCATAACAAACCTGCCCCCGGCTAAGTTTAGTCATCTTTGAAGCATTGCATTAGCTATCCTGAATTTGTCTTTATCTTTTGGAACTCTCTTGCTGTAGATGATAAGGACCTCTTTTCAGCTACCAGGGAACCCTCTGGCTTTGACACTTAGTTTCTAATTGTTTATTAGTTTCTCTCTGTAGGGAGTAAGTGCAGTATAACAGCTAGCCACTTCCATTTGTGCTTACATGCATTGTTCTCACACATTTCAAAAATCAGAATCTTTATACTGGAGTGTTCTTCTTTGGGAATAGTCTCCTAAGAAAGTTTTAGCATTTTTCCTAAGAAAATTTTAGCATTGGGGCTACCAGCTTGTGCCAGGGACTGTCCATATTTCCATAATAATAATAAAAAAGGAATCCAAAAAATAAATTAAGAATAAGCCAATGTTGGACAGTAATAACAATATTAAGTAGTACTGGACTCTTCTTATTTTTCATTAGAGCTATGGGCCTCTTGTTTTTAGTTATATGCATATAATTAAAAAACATACCAAGCTTAATGGTGAAACACTAAACGGTTCCCATTAACGTCAGAAATAAATTGTTCATTATCACCACTTATGGAAGAATTAATGATATGATTAGACAAGAGAAGAATAAAAGACCTCACTGGGGGAAAAAGAAAAGACAAGCAATTTGATGAAGGAGCCCCATTGATCTCCTTTGACTCAGCATTAGAGAAATAAAAGTCTCACTGGAAAGATTGTGGGAGCCCTGAACAGTCTGCTCAGGTGGGTGTTGTGTGTGTGCCTATGTGTTTACATACATGTGCATGCATAAAAGGAAACGAATCAGTTGAAACCTGGAAAATTTTTGATAGAGTTAGGTCAATGAGGTCCACAGGAATCGCTATTGAGAGTAAGTAAAGGAGAGATGCAAGGTGAGTTCATGGGGTTGTATATCCATAGTGATCTTCTGGCCACTCACTTCAATCTGAGGATTTACTCTTCCATATGATGCTGTTGAGGCTCTGCTGCTAATACTACCACATTGGTCTAGAACCCTATGGATTCTTCCAACAGAAAAGTTTAACAGTTCAGGTTCGGTTCAAGAGTTAGTAGTCAGCATGTTCTAGAACACAGCAGGATGATTGAGATTATGAGTCACTGAAGGGACAGACATATAAATAAGATTAAGTTAAAAATGTTTTTTTAATGTTTATTTTTTGAGAGTGAGAGTGAGAGAGAGAGAGTGTGTGTGAGCAGGGGAGGGGCAGAGAGGGAGACACTGAATCCAAAGCAGGCTCCAGGCTCTGAGCTGTCAGCACAAAGCCCCATGCGGGGCTCGAACCCACCAACTGTGAGATCATGACCTGAGCCGAAGTCTGGACACTCAACTGACTGAGCCACTCAGGCACCCCTAAATAAGATTAAGTTTAAATGTCTTCTAGGATGTGCGATCAATTATTGAAGGGTTAGAAGCATATTTTATATTTCATTTATCTTCTTTGAACCTCCTTCTGTTACTTTAGTTTTCTTTCTTACTCCCTCTTTTTTTTTTTTTTTTTTTTTTAAGTCAAGATAATATCCACAGAAAAATTGGCTAGCTGAGTTCAAATATTAAGTGACTGTGCAGGTGCTTTCTTGAGACAGGCATCACACTTTAGTATGCTGCAGACATGGCTTATTGGTACTTCTCATTTTGTCATGCAGAATATTAAAAAGACATTTACTCAGGAATTAAAATTTGACAAAATTAATTTTTATTGCTTTGTTGACCAATTGAAACTGGCATTTTTTTTTTAAATTTTTTTTTTCAACCTTTATTTATTTTTGGGATAGAGAGAGACAGAGCATGAACGGGGGAGGGGCAGAGAGAGAGGGAGACACAGAATCGGAAACAGGCTCCAGGCTCTGAGCCATCAGCCCAGAGCCTGACGCGGGGCTCGAACTCACGGACCGCGAGATCGTGACCTGGCTGAAGTCGGACGCTTAACCGACTGCGCCACCCAGGCGCCCCGAAACTGGCATTTTTTAAAACTGAAGAGTGTGTGGCTGTGAAGAATATGACTACTAGTACAGTTTGGTGTTGTTGCCTTGATTCGTGCAAAGGTGCAAGCGTTTCTACATTCCTTTGCTTTTGCAGTGTGCAAATATGTATATCATGCAGATGTCAACACAATGAAAAAAACATACTAAGAAGTTATGTTTTAGTGTTATGAAAATAGTTTAAAAAATTGAGATATAATTAATACATTATACTATATTAATTTCATATGTACAACATAATGATTTCAATATATGTATAAAAATAATTCTGACTTCATACTTCCAAGAAGAGTTTTGAGGATCCCTAGGAGTCCAGGACCACACTTTGAGAACTCATCCATTTTGTGCTTGGATGCTTTCAAGCAGCCTGAACTTTTAACCTTATAAAATTACCTACCTGGTTTTTAAACTTCCATAAATTCAACAACCTGGTTAGGTAAACTCCACTGAATGTTTAACTGACTTAATCGTTAAAAAAATGTTTTAATAGTATAGTGCACCTGTTCTTATTTTTAGTTTGAATATTTTACTGCTGACTCATACCCTGGTGACTTAAAAAAATAGTTTTAAGGTTAACATTCCATACTTTTTTACTTTGAACAAATCTCTTTAAATTAAAATAGCATAGCAGTTGATCTTTGACATTTAAATTCTGTGAGATTCTTGCAACAAAAATCTTTGTTTTGACTAGCTCCTTTGGGAAACAGTAAATAAATTTAGGATTGGTGGAATATTTTCAGCAGACTCTTGAAAGCAATTAGAAGTTTAATAGCATTGTAGTATTATGTACATTTGTCTTATCATCCAGTAGTTTCTGTGTGAAATTTGGGGCTGCCTTTGGAGTGAGGTGGGACTGATTTCATTTAGTGTAGTCCATTATTAAAATCCCTTATAAGTGAAATTTGAAAATAGAAATAAGTTTGTGTCACAGATTAAATTCCTTAATAGCAAATTCTAGATGGATAATCAAGATTCTTTTAGTATATTAAAATTTTATTGTATTGATTTTTGCTGAAATAATTGGCATTGGCCAACCTTAATCTGATCCCTTTCATAAACCCCTCCTGCTTATCTAGTGTTCTCCCTTAATTTGCTTTGTCCTTGGTATTCCCTCTGCTTGGAACTGTCTTCCCCTAGATATTATTAGAGTTGTCCTGACATTTAGGTTTTGACATAAATGTCACCTTCTCAGTGGGACTTTCTCTGACTGCCCTGTCTAAAATTATAACCTTTCTTGGGGTTCCTGGGTGGCTCAGTCAGTTGGGCGTCCAACCTTGGCTCAGGTCGTTATCTCATGGTTTCTGAGTTTGAGCCCCGCGTAGGGCTCTGTGCTGACAGTTGAGAGCCTGGAGCCTGCTTCAGATTCTGTGTCTTCCTCTTTCTCTGCCCCTCTCCTGCTCACACTCTGTCTAGCTCTCTTTCTCTCTCTCTCTCTCTCTCTCTCAAAAATGAATAAAAATTAAAAAAAATAAAATTATAACCTTTCTCTTCCTTTTCTTTAAAAATTTTTCTCCTTGGCATTTATCATCTTGTATGTCACATATTTTACATGCTTTTGTTGTTTATTATCCATTTCTGTCCATTAGAATGTAAGCTCCAAGAAGGCCAGGATTTTGCCTGTGTGCTTGCCAAGACTTAGACTTGTGCTGATAACAAAACAGGTGCTTAGATATTGGTGAGATAAATATTTATATCCTATTATAAGTATGAATTCTGTAGAGGCTATTTATTTATTTATTTTTAAAAAATTTTTATAATGTTTATTTATTTTTGAGAGACAGAGACAGAGTGTGAGCAGGCAAGGGGCAGAGAGAGAGAGACACAGAATCAGAAGCAGGCTCCGTGCTTCGAGCTGTCAGCACAGAGCCTGATGCTGGGCTCGAACTCACGAACCATGAGATCATGACCTGAGCTGAAGTCAGACACTTAACCAACTGAGCCACCCAGGCGTCCCGAGGTTTTTTTATTATAATTATGTTTGTTATGAGATTTTACCCCAAATCTTGCTCTTATGAAGTCTTTCATTCTAGCTCCCTGTCTTCTTCTCAATTTGTTCTTGGCCTTATAGTAAGCTCAAATATATATTCATTGAATGGATTTGTCAATCAGGAAAGCTCAGTTTTTTTTCCTGCAGAAACATACTTTTGTTTTATGATATAACAATTGTATACATTGAAACAGCCTAGGATTAGTTTCAATTTTTATAGATTAAAAAAGATTCATTTCCCCTTCTTTTTTCCCCAACTCCTACCACTCTCCTTTTTAAGTTTTTTTTTATTTTTTCAAAATGTTTATTTTTGAGATAGAGCATGGGCAGGGGAGTGGCAGACAGAGAGGGAGACACAGGATCTGAGGCAGGCTTCAGGCTTTGAACTGTCAGCACAGAGCCCATCGGGAGGCTTGAACTCAGGAGCTGAGATCATGACCTGAGCAAAGTCAGACACTAAATGGACTGAGCCACCCAGGCGCCCCTACCTCTCTCTTAATACTCAAAGTATTCAAAATACTCTTTTCCATGGTGCCTTCTCAGATTATTTTAAGCTGCAATGATTTTTGTTTCCTCTGAGTTTTTATAACAGTTATATTTGTACATCTGTTCCATTTTAATATTCTGTAATTTTTTTAAAATTCTGACTTGTACTTTATATTGTTATTTAACTTTTCAAGAGT